TACCAGCCCCTCCCGGCCTCTTGTCCCGCCCCACCAGCAAGCCCGGCCCTCCCAGGAGAGGCCATTTGGAGGCGGGGTCTCGTGCTCCACCCAGCGGCGGGGCGGGGCCAGCGGGTGGTGTCGATGGGTGGGCCCGGGTAAACGTGGGCATCTCCCGCTGCGTTCCGCCTCGCGCCGCACCGATCGCGTACTCGCGGCTTTGCCGCCCCGAGTTCCTCTCCCCGGTGTTAGTATCAGTAGCCTGAAAAGGAGGAAGGAAGGAAGGGTTGGTTCGGGAGGTGCTCTCAGTGGGTGGGTTACTTCGCCAAAAGCCCAGGCAGAGGAGAGCTGTTACCGAGGCCCTGCTTCCTCAGGCCTCGCAAGGTACATACTCTCAATCCAGAGATGAGGTATTCTTCCACTTTTCCTGAATCTATCCTGCCGCTATCCCTCTGAGCTTCTGGATTTTGAGAATTTGTTAGCTTTGTCGCCTCCGAAGAGACGACCAATAGTAAAAAATGTTAAGAGTGCTACATCCGTTGCTTCGTAAAATACATGGACAGCTCACGAGCTAGCCACCCGAGTTGTAGAAGGCTCACAGTGGTACCGCGCTGCCAACCCCTGAGGGGTCAGGGCCTCCCTGAAAAAGTCCGGTGCCCCTGCTAAAGAGCCGCCTGGCTTTAACCGCATCCTAATCCCTGTAGCGTAAGCCTGAAGGCCCTCCAGATGAATGGAGTGCTGTTTTGAGATTTCAAAACTTGGTGTTGAACCAGCGCAGTGTGCGCTCAATACAACCAAGGCAGAATAAAGTGACACTCGGAATGCTCCGTAATTTGTCCAATGGTAACAAAACAAAATCAACCTTGTCAGATAGGGCCATAAAGTAAGTCTCAAATTTAAGAGGCTTGAAACTAACCACAACATAGTTGAACTAGAAATAACAAAAAGCCCTAAAAAAATCTGCAAATATTTGCAACATAATTCTAAATCTGTGTCAGAGAATACATCAGTGGAAATAGAAAAATACAGCTGACTCTTGAACAAAGGAGTAGGCATATTATTGCGTAATTGCCCTGAACCCACAGAGTCTGAAGTCCATGTATAAATTTGACTCCTAAAAATTTTACTAATAGCCTACTGTTGGCCAGAAGCCTTACTGATAATGAACTACACATCGTATATATGTATCCTATACTATATTCTTACAATAAAGTAAGCTAGAGAAAAAGTGTTTTGAAGGTTGTTGCATATCTCCAAAAAATTTATTGAAAAAACTTGTCTGCTTATAAGTGGACCCACACAGTTCAAACCCATGTTGTTGAAAGGTTAACTGTAGTGTTAAAAATATAATTGCTTAGGGATAAATTTAACAGAAAATGTTTAAGACTTCTACACTGAAAACTACAAAACACTGCTGAGAGAGCTTAAAGAACACCTAAATAAACAGAGAAGTATACCATTTCACGGACTGGAAATCTCAACATTGTCAAGATGTCAGTTTTCCCCAAATTGAGCTATAGGTTCAGCTCAATACTAATAAAAATCATAGCAGCATTTTTTTTTTGGTAGAAATGGATTAAGAATTCAAAATTTTTGTGGAAATACAAAAAATTAGAACAAAACATTCTTGAAAAAGAACTAAGAGTAACTACATTCCTTCAAGGCTTACAATACAGCTATTAATCAAGATGATGAGGTATTCCATTTAGGCATATAACTCAATGAAACAGAACAAAAAGTTCAGAAATAGATCCATAATTATATAGTCAATAGATTTTTGACAAAAGCACCAAAGCAATTTAATGNTTTACTTTTTAAAAATAATTAAGCAACATGATTTCCGACTTTAAAATGTATTTACTCAAACTTTTTTTTAATACACATAGATTCATCTTTACCCGAAAGTGTCAAATTAGTTTATTGAACCGGTGAGCGCTGGGAAAGCAGTGTAAGAGCACAAAGTAGGCGCTCAAAATGTTTGCCAAATGAAACGAACGTTACTGTAAAATGAACCAAATTAGATCTAATCTATAGGAGAGTGCAAACGCACACAAAGTTAACCGCCATCGTGCTTCCCACTGCGGTTAGAGTACTCTGATTTCCCTCCCTCCCTCGGCTTCGCAGGCCATCCCCACATCCCAAATCGTTAAGTTTCTAGAAATGGCTTGGGGAAGGAAATAACAGTCAATGCGTAAACCAGCTGGCACGAAACCAGTGTCTTCTGAGTTAAAGACCTCCCGGTTCCTACGTCCTTTTCTTTTTCTCCCATTCTACAAGTGTCCACATCAAGGCTGAACTGGGGTCAATCGCACGTCACCACATCCATGCAAAAACAAAATCACGGAGTTTATCAAGCGCGTGACACACTGGAAAAGTGACCAAATCGCCCCGAGTCCGAAGCTAGGGAACTCCCGGGTCACCCCACCTGGAGGGAAGCGAGGCTGCCCGGAAGGAGCGCGAGGACCCGCTACCTTGGAAGGGGAGGCGGCGCCGAGCCCCCGCAGAGGCAGGGTCCGAGTACCCAGCCAGGGCCCCCACGGCCGGTCGAGGAACGCCGGCAGAGGTTCAGACATGGCAGAGAGCGCGCCGCCGCCCGCAGGTGCCGGGGCCTCCCCGGGAACCGGGAAAAGGCGGCGCCGCCCGCTCTCCTCCGACCCCACGGCGGCCAGACAGGCCCAACCCGTCTCGCCTGGCCCCTCCTGCCGCTCCCCGCAGCCCCTCCCGCGACGCCGGGTCAGCCGTTGGCCTTCCCGCCGGCGCTCCTTATTGAGGGCTGGCGCCCGGCGCGCGGGCTGACACGCACTCACCATTGTCAGCGCCGCCGCCGCCGCCGCCGCCGCCGCCGCCGCGTCCCCCCTACTTCACTCCTCTTCCCTCCGGAGAACTCCCAGCCCCGGCTCCCTCACTCAGCGCCCGTCACGTGACCCCGTCCGCCGACTGCACGTGACCCCTCCCTTCCTCTCCTCCCCTACCCCTTACCAGCCCCTCCCGGCCTCTTGTCCCGCCCCACCAGCAAGCCCGGCCCTCCCAGGAGAGGCCATTTGGAGGCGGGGTCTCGTGCTCCACCCAGCGGCGGGGCGGGGCCAGCGGGTGGTGTCGATGGGTGGGCCCGGGTAAACGTGGGCATCTCCCGCTGCGTTCCGCCTCGCGCCGCCCCGATCGCGTATTCGCGGCTTTGCCGCCCCGAGTTCCTCTCCCCGGTGTTAGTATCAGTAGCCTGAAAAGGAGGAAGGAAGGAAGGGTTGGTTCGGGAGGTGCTCTCAGTGGGTGGGTTACTTCGCCAAAAGCCCAGGCAGAGGAGAGCTGTTACCGAGGCCCTGCTTCCTCAGGCCTCGCAAGGTACATACTCTCAATCCAGAGATGAGGTATTCTTCCACTTTTCCTGAATCTATCCTGCCGCTATCCCTCTGAGCTTCTGGATTTTGAGAATTTGTTAGCTTTGTCGCCTCCGAAGAGACGACCAATAGTAAAAAATGTTAAGAGTGCTACATCCGTTGCTTCGTAAAATACATGGACAGCTCACGAGCTAGCCACCCGAGTTGTAGAAGGCTCACAGTGGTACCGCGCTGCCAACCCCTGAGG